CCCCCTCCCTCTCCTTTGGTCTAAGGGGCTCGTTGCATACGGCGCTTTTCCTCGGGATATGCACTGTGCAGTGTGCGGTGCAGTTGGTGTGCACGCAACATGCCGAGCAAATCACCGTCTCGGATTAGTTGCGTTTCTATGACGAGACGAATCATCCACTTTAATTGGTTGCGCTTGAAACCTTCGGCGAAACCTTTTCTCGGCGGAACTTGAAAACATACGGATGCGGTTTAGGCCGTTTAGGATTATCGTCTTGATCGTTTGATCTCCTAAGTGAGACGGACACACGCACGAGCGGTATAGGGAGATCAGTTGAAGCGAGATTCTAAAGGTTAAGCCGAGATCGGAGAAATTGGTACACATATCGCTCATTCGCTACAATGACGACACAGCTTGGAAAACTAAGTTTTCCAGAAGTTTAAATGTTTTAAATGATAAAAATTTTAAAATATTTATTTTGAAATACAATTTTGGTATAATGGTTGATTACAGAAGAATAACAGTATGTTTTTTCTTTTTTTTCTATATATTTCCATTTTTGTCTACTTTTGCAGAGTAGAACTAAGGGCATTTAGTTCTGGACTTAAGGATAAAAATTCATATTTTTATTCAGGAAGATACCAAACAATCAGTTACATATTCAATATATTGTAATTATTCATGAAGAATACTGTTATGAATAACTTTATTCAATTTCAGTACTATTTTATGCTTTTTTTACTTTTAATAAAAAAATAATGAAAATTATCCACAATTAGAAGCTCTAAGTCTAGTTGCGGATCAGACTACCTGCAGCGAGACATATTTAACTAATTGTAAGTTAATTATTTTATTCATGAAATCTAATGCTATTTACTACTTCCTGAGCCATAAGGCAATCCTTTACAGGTATTAAACTTTGAGTGAATTTTTAAAGATACACTTACGTAGGTATCTCTCACATTTTATTACTTAATGATATTAATAGAATATGCAGAGCTGTTTCCAGTAAACAAGAAAAAAACGCCGATTGACGATTGATAAAGCTAACACAAATTCTAAAGTGTCTCGTGATAAGCCTTATTCGATGAAAAGTATTATACAATAATTATTTAAATATAATAAATTATTCGGAACTAGTGCCCAATCCACATCTAGTGTCCTTATCTTAATTAAAAAAAAAAAAGAATTCTCGAGTTATTTCGTTGCTGTAGCAAATGAGCGATATGTTATTATATAAATAACGACAGATGGGAAGGAAAAATGTTAGAACGTTCGCTGGTACTTGCGTAAGCGAGTTACCGCGCGGTAAACGATTCCGTTCTTGCATGACTTTGATCTTACAGGCATGCAACGTCATATTATACCTCTTATTTTTCTCGATTTTAAATAGCGAGACAATCTCAACTATCCAGTCTCGCACCCAGCCTTTCGACACGCGTTTTCTTCGTCGCGTTTTTCGTCGCCATAATCCAGGAAGTGGCTCGCGTTACCACGCCAAAGGTCCATCCGTTTTTCTCGGCTCTTCGGAGAGCAGCAAATCGCTGCGCGCGCGCGCGCGCACGACGAAGCGCTACTCGCCGTTTACTGCTTGCTACTCGTGTCGTGCCGAACAGCCATAAGCACGTCTTGCGATGAAAAAGAGGCAGGAGAGAAAAAAAAGAGAAAATCGTAAATCGTCGTCGATTCTGCGAGATGCAGCGCCGATCTGCTCGTGGCGCCCTGACGGCGGCGCGTTGCCGCTAAACGCGAAGCAGGTTGATGGCCCAATTAACGCGAGTGCTCGCGTTAATGGGTTAGAACGCGCAGAGGCGTTTATACACACGTCATGCCAGCATATTTCCCGGCGCACCCATCCTGTCCCCTCCAGGATCGCACGTGCGATCTTCCTACGGGTTTCGATTGATTATCCTCGTTACCCGCGCACTCCGGCGTCTCCGTCTCGCGGGGCTACCTTTCGCGAGGGGACGTGGGCACGTCGCGCCGCGACGTGTACCGGCAACGGCGATCGCGCGGCTTCGAGATACAATAGAGATACGAGGCGTGAGATATAGAAAACTAAAAATGTTAAATTAACTCATAATCTGAGAGAGCTTTTGTTATTAACCCTGGAATGCTGTAATTCATGTTTTTCTTAATACGTTAACAGCTACCACTACTCTGCTATGCAAAGAACGAGTTTGCTCTGAAAGATCCTAAAAAACTGGCTACAGAACTGGATACATCTGAAACGCATTTTGTTGGACTATCAAAATAATCATGTTGGAAACTCAAACTGATTGCTAGAATATCAATTTTTTTTTGCAATAAGTATTGTTCGTCAATATAAGTTTCAATAAAATTTTTTAATAAAATAATTATTTTTATGATCCAACAAAATTATTTTCAGATCTGTATCTAGTTAAATTGTAGGTCTCTTAAGAAAAAAAATTCTTTTTTATGCTGGGTGAAAATTTACTTGTATACAATTAAGAATTTTTTACTTCTTTTATATCTATTTTACAAGTTGCTGCAAAGTATTTGAATAATTAACAATTAACGCTATTTTAATGTAAACAAATATAAAATGAGCTCTAATGTAAAACAATCTACTTAGGTAATAGCAAATGCTTGAATTAGCACTTACAGTAGCTTTCCAGGATTAATTTGCAATCCTTTCCTATGCAGACTATGCGAACGCTTGTACTGTTTTGTCGCAGTTTTCTCAATTCTCTAGGCATTCGAATCGGTTCATGATTACAGCAAAACTCACTAATAAAATGTTCAGAATGAAATACTTCATTAATATTTAATTTTCTATTGATAATTACTGTTCAATCGAGAGGATGTGTAACATTGTTGTAAAACCTCGATCGAACGCTTCGAAAGAAATGGAATGAGAGATTGCAAATTAATGCTTAATAATCGTATACGTGTTTGATGAAGATGTATCTTGCATCAGTGATGCTGCAATAAACTATCAGAAGATTTCGCAAAATCTAGCCGTGCGCGCGCCATGGCTCCCCGACATTTCTATCAACTTTCCTCTGATATGCAATCATCTGAGATGTAATAACGCGGAAATGTCCATTCATCATCGTGATAGTACAACGACGCGAGACGCAACGCCGCGAAATGAAGGCCGCGCGTCATTAATTAAACCGGAACGTTATTTCCTTGATCGCGAATTAATGATTTCTTACTATTATCCGTTAATTCGAGATGAGCGCAACGCATGATTATTTATTCTGCAGTATCATTTGGCAAATTTGCTTATTCCATCGAAAAGTGCGCGCGCGCGCGTGTGTGTGTGTGTGTGTGTGTGTGCAGATTTAGATTTAATTTTTATTTATAAATAAATAAATAGTACACACACACACACACACAGCGCTGGTCATTAAAATTGCAACCAAGAAAGATATGAAATATAAAAATGATATTTATATAGCAGATTATTTTTAATACATGGAATGTACAGGTTTAGAAGTTTTGTATTATACAATTATGTGTAATATGTATATAATGTATGTATGCTTGTACAATTTGATATTTTTATTAAAAATATCGCGCATTTTTATATTACTATGACATATCCATCCTATATAAATTTCGATTTAATACGTGTTTTTTTATGCATTACTGCAATTTTAATGACCAGCAATGTGATATATTTGTATCAAAAATATCTGAAAAAGATTTTGAAATCAAATTGATACACATTAATTTTTTTTCTCAAATACCCATATATTCATATGTATATTTTAATGAATTCGAAAAATAATTCCAGTATTCAGTTCAGTCGATACTTAAGTAATGACAGTTTCTTCGTTGTAAAGTAACAGTAAAGTATTTTGTTTAACTCAATTGATCCCAGGCTTCCATTGTTAATTTCATAAGACAAAAGCAATCATTCTTGAAACCAGATCGTCTACGAGCGATTGAAAAAACGGGGGGACGCACACGAGGCACGCGTCGTTGCCTAAGTGATATTACGCTTCTAATTGAACCGCCCGCTCCCATCCTCCGCTCCGGTCCCCGTGACAGTTCAGAGAAGAAAAAAAGGAAGCGCTTTATATTCCTAATTACTCGGGCCTCTACACCAATTCCCCTTGGTCTCTTTTTTTTACCCCCTTTCTCTTTAACTATCGTACGCACGCGACAGTGCGCGCGTGTCGCACGCACCGTGCCTCGTTAAGCGGAAATCAGCGCGGATTTGCACCCGCAAATTGCAATTCGTCCGCGCTCTCTATCCGCCGGTTTGTCGGCGCATTAGCTTATCGAGATATGGAGTTCGGGATATCGTACTCGTGTGTCCGATTCGATTTCACCGTTGCCGATTTCACCATTGTCAACGTCCGATGCCGTTCATCTTGCTCTTGAAGAAATGACGTTATCTGAGAGAGACCGGCGTGAATACGTATCTAATAATACGGTTATTTATGACTGAACGTTATGTCAACTAATGTTGTTTATGTTGAATGAGCTTTAGAAATCTACACTGCAAATCCGAATGTGTAATAAATGTATACTTGTGTGTGAGATTGAGTTTTCCGCATATAAATAACACGCTATGTTAGATACGTGACACTTTCTTCCTTCTATTTGCTGAAAGAACGATTTTACTGAAATATATAAAATTAACTGAATACAAATCTGAAAATAATTTTGTTGAATCATTAAAATAATTATGTTAAAAACTCAAACTAATTGTTAAAATATCAAATGCAGCATTGCTCATCATACTTGAGTTTCCAACATAATTATTTTCATGATCCTACAAAATTATTTTAAGATCTGTAACCAACTAAATTTTAGATATTTCAGCAGAATCGTTCTTTCCGTGTATGTTCGAAAAATTGTAAAGAAAAAAGGAGGAAAGAAGTTTTGTTTAATCTACAATTTACAATTTGTATGAAAAAATATATTTTTCGGATTACTATCTTTGATGGGCGCAAATTTTTTTACTCTCAAATCCCGACCGCGGATCTGTAATCTCTTCTTAGTCTTTTCGCTCATCATTTCATTCTTCGTCTTGATTTCAGGGTGCTGAAACCGCCCGGCGGCGGCAGCAGCGATATATTCGGCGCGGCCCCGGAAGAGACGAGCCCGCGGCGTGTCAAGGCCTACAATCAGTCCCAGCTGGGCTCGGCCCTCTTCGGCAACATCAACGGCACCGACAAGTGCGACAACGGAAACGCTGCCGTGTCGCCCCGCAGCAACAAGCCCGGTAATGATTCATACAAACGCCTGTTTGGCCCCCCCGATGCCCCACCCACCCCAAATGCGAGAAATCGTATGCGCAGCAATATTCCCCTCAGCGGGGGATCGTCGATCTCGTCGCTATCGTCGGGCGCCGCGACGTCGCCCGCGAAGAGCACGGCCAGCAGCAACTCGTCGGGCGGCATCGCCAACGGCTATGCCAGCAACGGCAGCAACTCGTCCAATGATATGACAGGTAAGGGCCCGTGGCGAATGAGGAAGCGGTAGCGAAGTCCCGTCCCGGGGTGGACGACAGTGATTTGTCCACTTTCCCTCCGATATTCTGATTAGCAATTTGATGATACTGCAAAAAAAGCTATTTGATATTTAAAATCACTACATCCTCTGTGACATTGTATCTAACAGGATAATTGCTTCGAAATTAAATTTTTCAATGTTGCAGGAAACTTTAATTTATGAAAAAAATATAATAAAAATAGAGAGTTAATAAAAGAGTCTAACACGGACGACAATGCGCAATATTTGATAAAATAGAAATAAATAATATGTAAAAGATTAAATATTTCGGCTCAAATTCGAGCCATTTTCACACAAAATAATACATAAAGATTTAAATTCTCTAAGAATTAATTAAATCTTTTTATATTATTTTTATACTTATCACACTAAACTCTTTATTAGCCTTATTTTTATTTTACATTTTTTTTAATTTCAAGAATCTTCACTTAATTTACGACATTTTTAATGAATTATCTAATATCTTTGAATATCGAAGGAAATATCCAATATTCGACAAAGGCAATATTGACTAATTGTCAGTGGAAAATACAGATACACCCCGGGACTTCCTAAACTGTTTCCACATTCAGGTGATGCTCCTCTTTGTAAAAACGCCCGAATACCAATGGGTGATACTCCCGATCTAAGTTGAAATATGTGTGTGTCGCAGGCTCTTGGCGCGCTAAAAATCGTTTTCCGTTCTGATTATCGCGCTTCTGTCACGACGGGAAGTAAAACTTTCTCATCGGGAACCGTAATCGCGGTCTCTCGGGAGTTCACGCTCGTTAAAAGTTTATTGTATATTGCGCGCAGGCAAACTTTGCGTTTTTGAGAACGATTTTTTTTCTATCTCTCGCTAAGGAAAGATCGAAGTACATTAATTCCGTTATCTCGATTGCGCTATTATAGATTAGTGCTTTACTTACACGTTAAGAACCGCGTACGTATACTCGATATTCGATCGATAGCGCAGCGCGCACCGATGTTTTCTTTTTACTGTACGTGAAATCACGCCTAATGGGATCAACGGCGAAAGTTTCTTCGGTTGGGCGCGAAATCGATACGCTCCTTTTTTTTTCTTTTCCTTTGCACGCGAACCGAGTTATCGCCGAGTCGGCGCTTTCGGCCCGTCGATGCGGAGCTAGCGAGACACTAAAGGAGATTCCACAAATGAATATCTGTGTAATATATATGAATATATAGCTCTATTTTTCTTTTTTTTAAATATATGTCACTTTCCTTGAACTGTTCGCAAGCAGCTTTTAGGAGAAAGAAACGATTTCGTAAGTGTGTAACGAGACATTCAAGTAGATGACACACGACACTACCACACTTCCTTCTATGATCATAATTAGACGCGTAGAAAAAATTGCCCGGGAATCATTTCAGAAAAAAAGAAACAAAATAGAAGCTCGTCATTGAGAAAATTGACAACCGTGGCCGTCGTAGTGAAAGAGACGTTTGATTTGTCATGTTTTTTTTATGTAGAAAATTCGTATCGTGTACCTCTCTCAGCATTTCATCACGTTACTTCAGGGCCTGCCACGAAAATAGGAACAACACATATTTTGAGTTAGACCACATTACCGCCTTAGATCTTAAGTTTCGTGGATTCCGCTAATAACATTACATTTCGCTTTACGTTAAATTATTTGTATTTCTCTCACACACACGATTTGCGTTCACTTGTAATGAATTCATAGTAAACGACATTGAGGAACGACAAATTATGAATTAGGAAAGAGGAAATTTTTGTTCTCGATCACGATAGCAGTTCTTTTATACTTTAAAACGTATTCTTTAAAACGTAAATTATTACATTTTTGTCGACTTTGGACGCAGTCTCGTTCTCTTTGTATAGATAATATTAAATAAATAGATCCGGTAAATTAGAAATGTGCATTATGATTTATGACTCATTGATAAAAACTTTGGGCAGATTTGTTAAAAGACCATTTGCCAAAGAAAAAAAATCTTTCGATGTCGTTTGCCAGATTCATTCACTTGAATTTTCGCGGACGAGGTGCACTATCTCGAGACTCGATAAATAATAATACATTAATATATTTAATTTACATTTACATTTGCATTAACTTTCCGATCGGTTTAACAAAAGCACGCACGGCCGCGAGAGATTTTTCCCTCGATAACACCGGCATATTAATTCGGAATATCGGAAAGATTTCATCAACAATAATACATGTCGTCGGTAGAAACGAGAAATATTATAAACGAAAGTCTTCCTTTTCCTAATCGGCATAACACGGCGTGTGATCTCTCTTGTCTCTTGCTTTCTCAACAATATCACTACTGTGTTTCTGTATTTTACTGCTGCTGTAAATATTCACTCCTTCACAACTTTGAGCACAACACACACTGTTTTCTATTTTGCTTTTATCTTAATTTTTGTCGTACGGACGAATCCAAGATATCGGAGGCATCCTTTTAATCGGATTAACAAACACCAAATTATTGAATCAATACTTGGTCTCAAACATAAGTCTAAAGACATAATATTTTTATAACAAAATAAACAAATTATATAATTTAAATAACATATATATATTTAATATATATATTTAAATTACTTTTATATATACAGGGTGATCCAGGTCATCCGAAGGAGCCGGCATCTACGTATTCCTCACGAAAAACTGAGTCGAAAATATTATGTTATTAACATTTTAATAACAACTTACAATCAGTTTCTCATGAGGAATACGTAGATGCCGGCTCCTCTGGGTGACCTGGATCATCCTGTATATATATATATATATATATGTAAAAGTAAAAGTAAAAAGACGTGGAAATATGCGAGATGCACGTAGAGTCTCGGAAAAGGACAACAGTAGGCACGACGGTATCTGCGGTATCCGTCCGTACGAATTGCCGCGTATTAACACAAGTTGGTTGGGGTTTACGGTTGTGGGTTTTGCGACGGTGGTACGGTGCATGGGGTGAAACGGTGAAATGGCTCTGTGGGCTTACTTACGCACGTCGCTTCGCGCGCACGTGGCGGCGAAAACACGTGTGGGCTGTCGAACGGCGCCACCCTCGTCGGCCGTGTCCCCTACGGCAGGAGGATTGCCGGCGCGCAACCCGGTCACCGGAGACGGAATCGAGATGACGCCCTTGAGGCGCATCCCACGAAAGTATCGAGGTAACGTTCACTAATTATCCGATTTCAATATTCTTCCAACGCCATGTTCCTTAATCTCTTTCCCAGGACACGCGTGACGATTTTTCCTGATCCCTGTCTTTGCGAAACTTACATTTTTTAGGCAGATCGGAGATTTGATTATTTTATATCTTTGGAGATATTTCTAACTGACGAAAATATGTAGATTAAGTAGAGTAAATTGCGAATTAAATAAATTTAAGTCGCCAGATTAGTTTATAATAACCTACATACGATTCCCTAATAGCAAGCAAATGCAATTTCTTGAGACTTAATTCAAGCTAGAACCACAGATTATGATAACGTCAAAATAAATCGTGATGGAACGAGACATGAATTTTAATTGAATAATAATAGAGTTATTTTAATAATATCATGATGACTTTTTGTTGTTCTGCTTGGGAAGTGCAATGATAGTCTCACTTAAGTTGACTCTTTTTTTTATATTTTTCAATTTCCTTTAAGCAATTCTTGTGAAAGATATTTTAGAAAATGAAATTAAATATATTTTAATGTAATGTATAAGTTTAATTTAATTAAGTTTTTATAAGTAGTATAAAAACTAGATACAAAGTAAATTTTCTTTAGAACTGTAGTTAACTGTAACTTGAGTGAAATCGTTCTTTCGATCTATTTTTTCAATCTTTCATTTCAATCTTTCAAGTTGTAAGCGCCTTATTAGAAGATTCTTATCTAATCAAGCTAATTTTCCGAACGCAAACGTTCGAATGAAGGAAAATTAATTATCGCCGCGAGAACTCTGTTTTGGAATGCGGGATTCATAATTGAACACATCCGCTAATAAATTCGCGCTAATTGTAAATGTAAGAGTATAAATGCTTCTCTCTCTCTCGTTATATCTCGCAGCACGCGCGCAGCTCTTAGCTCACGAATCGCGTTAAACAACGTAATTACAAAAAGTAATAACCATACGAACAATAAATATTTATACGAGGAGGAAACTTAATCGCGTATTTTTTTTTATTCCGAGCGTTCAACGAGGCCTTTCGAACGCAATTCTTGCAAGATTGAAACGAGAGCTTTCGAGAGACGTTTACCAAGACCACAGTAGGTGGAAAGGACCATAGGGGTTCGTGGAAACGTCTCCTCGTCGCGTCGCGACGAGATCCCGAACGAACATGGCGAATTGTTTATCAAGCGCCGTGGAATTACGAGCATGGCGTTCCGTTACAACGTCTTCCGCGTTGTTTAATCGCACGGGGGGACCCTGGCGTTTAATACTGGTGGTAATAATGTCCTACGGCCTATCGCCGCCCGGGAAGTGCATTTAAGTAGAGGACGTACGCCGCATAAATCGAAATCTACGGGGAGGTCCTATCGATACCGCTATTTACGTTTGAAGTATCCGCGCGCGTGACGTGCATCGTTCGTTGAACTTGAAAGTTCGACGTGCGTCAAATGATAAGACAGTCGATGAGACTTTTGAACAATCGAAGGACTTGCTGTGCTGCAACAGTAGACTATCCCACATTTTACAAAAATGGTGAAAACACTGAGAGAAAAGTGTTTGATATTTGTGACTATAATAGCTACTATAATGGTAACAATAAACTAAATTAAAATAATTATTGTTAGCTCTATTTTTATATTGTTATTACTGCTTTTTTGTTAGTAATAATAATTCTAACCTATTCATGATTTAGTAAAATAAATATATTGCTTAACCGAGAATGTGACTATACAGTGTAGTTAAATTGTGGTAATTGCAACATATTTTTTTTCTCTCAGTGAACTCCGAAGTTCATTATTTTAACTTTAGGGTTTATCTTCTCTGTTGTTACTGCACAAAATGTAGGTTAAATTATTATCACTGTTGCAGCAGCCCTTTAATTATTTATTGCAAATCAAAAGTCAGTGGGATCACTTTGTAAAAAAGAATATAAGCGAATGAAGACAATGAATGAAGACGTTAGCGAATTAATGCTTGCGTTATTCGTGCTCGTGTCCATTTCCCATTTTATTTTTCTGTTACAAATTCGAGCCAATTCGGACTCATTCGAATTCACGTTAATGAAGACTCACTTGAGCCTGTTCGGAAAAAAATTATCAAATGATAATTCAAACATAAGCGAGTCGAACGAGTAGGTATGTCGAGTCTCTTCATTCTTCGTCGCTTCGTGTCTCGCGTCCCGACGTTCGCGGGATGCTACGGTAAGTTCATTGCGATCATGCTTAGAGTGTAATGATAATTAAGTAATATCTCGTATGTATCTCGTTATGTCTTTCTCGTAGCTTTATTACAGGTGTTAATTTCGGTGTCGCAGACGACACGCGAAATTTGTTGTTCGTTGGCTTTTTACGACTGATTGAACTGTGTGCTTAATCGCCTGCGAAATTGAGCAATTCCTACCTCCCTTCCTAGTCCCTCGAGATAAACTATCAACTGGTGCGACAATCGTGGTTGTAACCGAACGAGTTGAGGAATCACGTCCCAAGATGTTTTAGTTGGGGGACTAATTTTGTAGCGTTGTTTTGTCACGTGGTAGAGTGTGTGTAAAAGCGTACGACGGTAGCATGTGGATTTCGATAGAATTTTGGATTAGAATTTTGGACTTTATCGACGTCCTTCTGTCAGGTGCGTAGGAACGTAACGATAAAATCGATTAATAAATTACAACCGGACGTAATTTCTTAACCCTTTGTGCTCCATAACAAATTTAACATTTTGTTTCGTCAGTTCCTAATTAAAATTAGAATTGTATAAAAATTGAATAAATATTTGATTTAAAAAATTAAAAAATTATCAAATAAATAATTAAAAATAATATTTTGATTGCAATGCAAATTTTATAGTTTTTTTTATAGAAAATGAAGAATATATTGAATATTTTATAATTATTAATATATTTAAAAAATTATTGTTTTACATTTTAATAATATAATTTTAATCATATCGCTATTTACCCGGATGAAATCCGGGGTTTCCTTTCACAGGAAAAGAAATAGTTTTCTGTTACATTAAATTTAAACGTAAAAGTTCGAATTTGTTAAATTTTTAATCATAATATATTTAATATAATAAGCATAAAAAAATTACTTATTGAAAAAATACAGGAAAAAGTATATATTAAGAATTCTTGCATTTAATTCCGACATTGCAGCTGCTGAAATAAAATTATTATGTCGAGTCCAGTTGGAGTATTAAGGGTTAATCTTATTTGTCGATTCCCTCGCGCACGATTCTTCGAAAAGGAAAATCGCGATTGAATTAGCTGAATCGAGAGTTCCTACGCTCTGAATCATTTGCATGCCAGAAAATCGCGTGTGGAAACGGAACGTGACTCATGTACTATTCAATTTTTCATATCTCAAGTGTATCTGTCTCTACGGATAGAAAAATTTTTATATATGTAACATGTTACCCGAGATAACACAGTTATTTTGTTATAAAATTCAATCACATAAAATGCATGTAGTTTCTATAAAATAACGCAGTGTAATTTATTTCTCAGAAAAATTTGAAAAATAGAAAAGTGTAATTTATTTTTCAGAAAAATTTGTTTGATAACAGTTCAAGAAAAAAAAATCATAACGAGACTAGTCATTTCGTGTTTTATAGACACTAAATACGCTGAATCCAATTATTAAATTGCGCTATCACATCATAATTTTGAAAAATTTGTAATTAAAGTTCCAAAAAGGCTATTTTACGTGTTATAACTATTATATATAACGTGCTGAAGAGGTTTTATTGTAATCAAAATTAAGTACAACTTTGTCAGCTCTTAAACAGAATTTTTTGTGTCGTTTATGATTAATAAGATATTTTATAAGATGGTTAAATATGGGGTCTATTGCGGATAAACTATATGAATTAGATCATTTTGTTATTTTTAACATCAGATTTGTATATAACTCAGCGATTTAAAAAATCCTTGAGTTTAAATAAATAGAATTGAAAATTGTTTAGTGTTTGGTAAACCGTTATTGATTTAATTCACACCTTTTTTCTGCAATAGATCTCACATTTAATCATGATTATCTTATTAATCATGGTTGACACCAAATATCTTTTTAAGGATTAAAAATTCTAACAATATTCGTAAATTTGATTGCAATAAAACTTCTCCAGCACATCATAGTTATAAATAAAAATATATGAAAATAGTTTATTTGCAACTATAACTATAATTTCTCAAAATTGTGACGTGATAGAGCGAATTTGACAACTTTATATTTAGTATCGAAAAAGACTATGGGAAATAACTAGTTTCATTCTGGTGTTTGAAAAGAAATCATTTTTTGTTGAACTGCGTAATTATTAATTACATAAAATTAATAAATCACGTAATGTAAACAAAAACATGCAGCTTCTATTTAGAAATTGCGTATCAATCATTAGGTCTGTCTCGAGATTAATGACGTGTCTTATCTCAGGGAGATGAAAAGATCTCTTGATAAAAACTCAATAATTAATTAACCAAAATGTCTATCGCACACAGCCAGCGAAATTTAGACACCAATTAATTTTAAACAAATTTCAATGAACAAATTTTATAAAATTAAAGAAATACTTAGTTCGGTATTCGTAGTCCGTTCTTATAGTTATATTTAATTTAATACCGTCTTAAATATAAGAGTCTTAAATCATAAATCAATTATGCATCTTAAATAGTTATTTAAATAGGTATTTAGCATCTTAAATAGTTATCTAAGATATTACTTAAGACGATCTTGAAATAAGAACGGACAACGAAAAATCAAGACCATGACGATTAAAGTTAATCGCTGTCGCATTAGTAGATAGATAATTAATTCTCAATCGCTCGGTCATTGAGCTTATATACGTTCGCGATACTAGAAGAAAATATTAGAAAATCAAATAGATATATTAGAATCAGTCTTGATGATGATTTCCACTAACGAGCGAAAAAACATCATTTCTGCAGATGGCAATCCGGTAACCGGAATCGGCTACGCATCTGAGGCACAGAAGAACGGGCCGGCCATGCAGAACGGAATCGCCAGCTCGAATTCCAGCAGCAGCGGCGAGAAGTCGAACGACACGTCGCCGGCGACGGCCAAGCCGCCGACGCGCACCCGCGTCCCGCCCGGTGGCTATTCATCCGGACTCTGGTAAAGGGCGACGTCGTCGCCATCGGGAGAGGGGTGTCATTCCGTCCCCGCCCCCTCTCCCCCTCCTTCGAAGGGGGATTCCCTCTGGATAATTCTTTCGGTCCTGTACTATTAACCCATTAAAGCCCAAAAATCTCCACCTAGAGCCTTTCTTAATCGTCGTCCGTTCCGAGCGGAAGTCTATTTTGCCACTGTACACCTGCAGCGACGAGTAATAATACCTTTTCTATGATTTTTCTAGACATACGAGATAATAAAAATAGAGAGACAGAGGCGAGATAATAAATCGTGGGCTTTAATGGATTAACGCTACACATCATTCTCTTTCGCTTTGTACTAATTCAAGGAAATACACACGGAATGTGGAGTTAAGAATGAGTTAACTCTTTTAGGCCTCTTGATTCTCGGACGACGGAGTGTAACTCTTTCGGCCTTCGGGGAGAACACAGTGAAATTGATTCCGGATGTAATACGCGCTAACGTGATCAATCGCCTCTTTCAAAACGAGGATGTTAAACGATGTTCGATGCCGGGGTCGAAAGGGTTCAACGAAAGAGCGGACGAAAGTAATAATAATAATAATATTAAAACTGCGAATTCCTCCCTCTTTCCCTAGATATTCGCAACACAGAAACGAGCAGTGGGTTGCGTTCAATCAGCAATGGTGAAGATCATGTATTTAAATTTATCGAGATTATAGATACATTAGATACATCGTGAGTTCTCTGGATTTCAATCGCGTCACACACGCGGACTCGTATTTTATGTCAAAGATTAATTAATTAATTGTATTTGCGAGAAATCGAATTGCATTGAGTGGAGAACAGAAGAATGAGCCTAGAAAACAGTCCTAAATCGGGATATAAGTCTTTAAAATGTCTTTTAGACGCCTTTCAGACGTCTCTCGCAAAAATGTCTTCGAAGCGTCTTTTAGACGTCTTATGTCTCGATTTTGTGTCTAGTAGGGAACAGAGGCAAAAGTGTGTGTCTTCGAATATTTAAATGCCGCCACCGCGGCATTTCTCCTGCGTGGTAGATGTGGGAGCGCGCGCGAGGACGAAACAAATCCCCGGGTTCCCTTGAGCGTAAATTACCGGTCCTTCAATTAGCAACCTCCAGCATGGGAGGAGCAACTTTATCGCGTAACTGTATAGAGGTAGTTAAAGCGATCATCGCGCGTAAAGCGTACACCTTCGCGGCTGGCGCGCCGGTCGACGAACGATTCGTGGAGTCGTAAATCACTTTGTTAGGAAGCGCGATTTCCTATCGGTGAAAAAAAAAAACGATTTACATATAATGAATCATATGAATAATTGGGGAAGATCAAGTACATAACTCTCGATGGAAGGGAAAACAATCAAGTTTGAAATACAAAATTATATAGTAAGAAAATATCTTAAGATTTATGAAAGCCGCCAGAGACTTGTGCGATTTAGCGATCCAGGATAAACCTAAAAAAAAGGAGAGAAGTTAACGTTCAATTTCTGTCTCAAAATATTTGCTATAAATAAACGCCACTTTGCTGTATCGATCAATAATCCAGTCACAGAATGAGAATATAAGTCGAATGTTAAAATCATGCGTATTTGGAGTACTTGCGATCTAACGATCTGTAGGATAAACCTAAAAAGAAGAAAATTTTGGTTTGCGTTTCGAAATATTTGCCAATAAATGCCACTTTGCTGTATCGCTCAATAATCCAATCATAGAAATATAATATAACTCGAATGTGAAAATTATGTTCTCTTTGCAACGGTTTTATGATATTCGATTCATTGATGGTTGTCAACTCGAGTGCTCCGACATTTTCACCCATGTTGTTCAAAGTGCTTGGTTACGATAAGCAAGAGCGTTGCTCGGTTTTTATTTATGCGACCCATTCATTCGCGATCCCGAACGATCTGGTCTTGTCACCGTCGAGCGACCGCGACCGTTTTGCTCGTTTCCACGTGTTGCTGCATGTCACTATCCGTTTAATTGAAGAACTCGCTCCCACCTCCGAGGTGAAGGGCAACTGACACGTATGTTCATGTATCAGAACGCATAACAGAAGAATACTGTGATCGTATGACCGTAGGACTGCGATCGTTAACTATAGAATGCGGCGTTGATTAGGAGCGAGAACAGAGTAAAAAAAAAACGTTGCACCAATCAATCCTGTCAAGCGTTCGAAGAAAAAAACCTGTCAGAACAACACGTAATTAATGGGATAATTGACATTTTGAATAGAGTAACCGTCGATTCGTGGTACTGTTTGAAAAAAAAAGGAAGAAAGACGAAGTGTCGATGATTCGAGTCGCGTACGATTAGGAACGTGAGAGGAATGGACTGAGAAGTAGCAGCAGAGCGCGCGTTTGACAAATGAATCTGCGAGATGGAGACCTCGGAACTGTATATTAGAAGTAGGCATGTGTTATTTCGAGAAATAAAAGTGTACTATGTATAACCCATTGAAACCAAGTTTCAAGTGCTTTTCTTAATCTCTCCGTGCCTTCTCAATCGCATTGATTTATCGTTTGCGCGAACGATCGCGAAGAGAGAAAGAGAGAGTGAGAGAGACCGAGAAGCTCCGTTTTTGCTCGCGAGATCATCCACGATGGACGGTTTCGACTGCGGAACGAACGGAGAAAGCGCGACGGCACGCTGGATAACGCAGATGTAAAGGTTTCGTCGCGTCGCGTCGTCGAGTTTCTCGAAAGTAAAAAATGGACATCGTTGTCGTCTTCTCCTCAGATTTATCCACAAAACTAATATTATTTATCTATTTATCGGTATTGTATACTTATCTCTCTTCTTTTCAATCCGGGCGATCGGAACCAGGACTTCGCGCTCGGCGAGCCGAGGAGCCAGCCGCTCCCTCCCCCCCCCCCCAC